CCCCCCCAAGTTCCCGGACGAGGAAGGAGCCGTGTCCCCTTAAAACAATGATGTACCAGCAAGCAACAGAATGGTGGACTTGGGGAGAAAGGACCACATGGACTCAGTCCATCAGCGAAGAGTTCTTGGAACAAGCAAGCGGCTATTGAAAAGGTTAGTTTGTAGCCTTTGTCTAACTTTTTATTTGTTTTGACCTTGGCCTCAGGTGGCAGGCTTCATTTTATGCGCCATTGTGTTGCTGTTATTCAAATTTCTTGTAGTTTAGTGCGGTGACCGACTTCAGATTGCATTATTGGCTTGGATATTTAAGGTAAAATGTCATTTGTTATCTAGTGCTGACTTTTTTTGTTTGAAATTAAACAGATTGATAACTAATTTGTGTCTCCTGACTTAAGGGAACGTGTGCCGAATAGCCTAAAGCTGTCAAGAGATTGACTCAACAATGCTTTCATTTCTTAAAATTAAAAAACCCGACAAAAGTTGGTGTAATTTGTATATGCTATTTACCCTGACCTAAATGGTAATCTGAACCCAAATTTGTGTAAAGGCTTTTCAGGTGAAAAGACTCGATATTTTGGAATGATTATTTACCAAACACCATTCTAATCTCTTACGTATTGTGCACTAGGCGCAGTTGTGTAGCAGTTGAGTGATGTTGGTTAGCTGTTACTGGCGACATGTTGCGGTGCAGAGTGCTTGGCTGTTTCCTGTTTTCTCCTGGGGGCTCCTGTGTAAAGCTGCCTTGTCGTGCAGAAACAAATGACTGTCCAGTTTATTATTCAGTGCCTAACAACTGCACTTCCAGTCACCCAGGCCTTGCATATAAATAACGGAGCATACAGTGCGCATATCTAGCTGATGATAAATGCACATTTTTTCCCTTCTTGCCCCACTCCCCAAAATGGTCAAATCTAATTATCTTCATGTATCAAATGTGGAAAAAAATGTAAGGAAGCAAATGGTTTGTAACTTTGTAAGTACTTATAACATGGTGTATCTTTGCAGGTATGAATATTCTGTATTATAACCATAGTTTCTGTAGTTTAATTAAAACATTTTCTTGGTGTTAGCTTTTCTCAGGAAAAAAAAAAAAGATGCTAAAAGGATCCCTCAGACAAAGAACCAACAATGGCAAACAACAATCTAAGATTAAGACCCATGAGTACACCACCCAGAAGTCAACCTGGATACAAACCCCAAACCAAACCCACTGCTAGCAAGTGAATTCCAACTCACAGGAACCTCCGTGGGTCTTCCAAGGCTGTCAGTCTTTTCAAGAGCAAATGGCCTCAGCTTTCTGCCTTGATTAGGGAACCTACAAACTAGGGAACAAGAGACATCAATTTGTCTCAAAATGATTGACAACTAAAAAGCAAAAGGGGGAATAAATAGTATAGTTACAAAACTTCTAATGTAGAAGTCAAGTTGATGTGAAGACAACAAACTGTCTTAAATTTGGGAATATCATATGGGTAATCTCAATGAAAATTAATAAGCTTTCTTTCCAAAAGAAAATGAGGTAGTTAGTTTATTGTGCCAACCTGGATGATAAACACACGTGGGGTTAATAAGATTGCAGGTTAATTGAAGGGTGGAGGGTACAGCTGCCTTAGCCAGTTCTCTGCTTCAGCTGGCAAGGCTCACTTCCTGCAAGACATCCCTGAGGAGAAGCCGCATGGACTTATCCCTGTACAGCCCTGGGTGCTGGAGCAGCCATGTGGAGACCCCTGCCAGCGCTGAGATGCTTACACATTCACTGACTCGGCTTTCCTCCTGCAGTAGGCGTCATTGTGTGTGTTTTGTGAGATGGAGGAGGACTTTGTGGATTGGTGTCAGACATATGGGCTAATGTTGAACCTGTGGGCTTGGGCAGCACTGGGTTGGGATGTTTTCTTGATGTGCATTTACCCTTTGTATAAAACTCTGTCTTACACATATGAGTTTCTGTGGATTTGTTTCTCTAATGTACCCAGACTAACCCAGAAAATAAAGTCAGAAAGAGTCAGTCACCACTGAAACAAAAGCCACAAATAAAATGAACTCAGTAGAGAAAAAATAACAAAGAAGCTATCAACACCACACACACACACACACACACACACCACAATAAAATGACAGCAGTAAACTTATAACTACCATTAATTACACTGAATGTAATGGATTAACTGCATCAGTCAAGAGACAGATTAACAGAATGTATAAGGAAACAGAATCCACCAAATGTACCTAAAAGAGACACACCTTAGATACAAATACAAAAATAAGCTGAAAATTAAAGGATGGGAAAACATAACAAGCAAATGGTAATCAAAAAAGAGAATGAATGGCAACATAATCTAAACAACACAATCAACCAACCCCATAGAATACAGAATACTCCACTCAACACCATCACAATAAATATTCTTTTCCAGCACACATGGAATATTCTCCAGAACAGACCATATGCCGGGCCACAAAGAAAGTCTCATTTAAAAATATTAAAATACTACGAAGTATCTTTTCAGTTCACAATGGTCTTAAATAAATTCAATGAAGCATAAATATATGAAGGAGTACCCCCCCAAAAAATGGAAGAAAGCTCTGTTGGGAGGAGCTTTTGTGGTATGCGTTTTCCTGCTAGGTGAGCATTGAGGAACTTGCTCTGAGTTAGTGCATCTAGTGGCTTTTCCTGGGAAGGTTCTCATTCTCTGGTCACAGTGAATTTTTTCCTATGAGCAGTTTCACTCGAATCTCATTTTTTTGTGATGGCCAATTTAAGAGGACAGCATGCAATTGTGAAATTTTGTTTCCTGCTGATGAAAAATGCTGCAGAAACTGTTGTGATGTTGAACACCGCTTACAAGGACAGTGCTATGGGAAAAACTCAAGTGTACGAGTGGTTTTTTTCTCATTTCAACAAAGGTGAAATGTCAATTCATGACAAATCCTGTTCTGGACATCTGTCAACTTCCCGAGTTCCGTTGGGAGTTGTTGACTCATAGTGCATTTGGAATTTGTTCCACCAAGTCAGACTGTTAATCAAGCTTTCTATTTAGAGGTTCTGAAACGATAGCATAACAGTGTGTGACCAAAAAAAAAGGCCTGATTTGTGGCAGACATGGGGACTGGCTTTGTCACAGGACCTGGTTAAGCAGCCCTCTCAGTGTGCCACTTTTTGTCAAAAAACAGAATGACTTTCTTGCCCCACGTACCTTGCTCACCTGACCTTACTCAGTGTGACTTCTTTTTGTTTCTGCAAATGAAGGGGGACATGAAAGGACAGCAATTTCACAATGTAGAAAAGGTGAAGGAAAAAAGGAGGGAGGTGCTGTCAGCCAGCCAAACAGATAAGTTTGAAAAATGTTTCCAAGAATGGAATCATAGATTTGCCAAATGTAGTAAGTGTAATGGAGAGTAATTTGAAGGTGGTAAGGTTGTTTTGTACAAAAAAATAAATACATACAACTTTAAATTTAAATTCTGGGTTTGTGTGGGGTTTTTTTGGTACTCCTCATATGTAAGGGGGCTTCAAAAAGTTCATGGGGAATTTTCATTACTTTTCATTGCATTTTTCCAAGAACCTTTTAAAGCATTTTCATATAATTGATGCAGACCACACACCAAGAATACTCAACATATCAAATCAGAGTTATGACCAAATTAAGTACGTTGCAGCCCGCTCCAGTCCCCTTGTATTAGATCAAGGCTGAGTATGAGCTGGGGCTGCAATCTGCATGGTCGGCAATTTGAAACCACCAGCTGCTCGATAGGAGGAAGACTGGGTTTTCTATGTCTGTAAACCGTGACAGAGTCAGAACCGCACAGGGGCAGTTCCAGCCTGTTCCAGGGGTCACCAAGAGACAGCACTGTCTTGATAGCAGGGAGTGAGGGAGTGTCCCATGAACAATTTCATCTTCTCGATAGCTAAGTCTTCTTAACACCAAGTCAAAAGCTGTCTCCCTGCTGAGGTCACTGGTTTTCAATGTCTACAGTAGGGTAAAGCTTTTAAAGCAGAAGCGAGGGGAGGGGAGATCTACATGAATTTTAAAGGCAATGTGGTTTTAAAAAGGTAAAACCAGAAATTAAATGCTAAAAAAAGCTCATAAAAAGGCAGAGTATGAAAATAGCAAACATATGGTAGTCTTGAGTTCCCATTTATTGGGCAACCTCAAAGTAAGAATTTTGAACCAAAGTCTAATGACTTCCATAGCCTGGGACTGCAGTCACCTGCTTCTTCTCAAACAAGGCATTCAGCTTTAAATCCGAGGGAATATTTCAGTTTCTTAAATCTGCTGCAGGTGGGAATTCCAATTCAGATCCTTCTTCTGTGGTCTATATTGAATGTTGTGCATCTCAAAAAGACAGAGCCTAATTTCCTCATTTTCAGTTTATCAACTTCACGTTGAGTATTTTCACTAATGGCAGGTTGTCCTAACCTGTTTACCCACTAACAGAAGTGCAGTCACCTTCTCCAAGGTAAACATGTCCCATGGCGCCCATCTCAACTTCAACTTCCAGTAAGGTTCACTAAAAGTTTCTGTAGGAATGTCCATTAATTTTGGATGACAACAGAATAATGTAATAAGGCAGTCATTGATTGGTCTCCTCCCTCT